GATGTCCCCTCCAGATGCCATTTTTTAAAAACTTATTTATTTTTTATTATTTTAAGGTTTTTGCCATAGGGTACATGCACTTGCCAGAGAGAGACAATGAGAGGGAAAGTGAGAGATCGCACCACAGGGGAGATGGCTGCACCTCAATCCCTTCTCCTCCATTCTTTTTCTGGGATTTTGGACACGCACGCCCATGCATCTGGCATGATTTTCAATCTTCCAGGTCCAGGACTTGAGCTGTGATTGGCCACATGGGAGTCTAGCACCTTAATCACTATGCTACCTGCTCCCCTGCCCTAGATTCCTCTTATCTGCAGATGACCCCATCTTCAGCTGCTCACTTCTTGGGAACTTCTTTGCCCTGAAGTTATCCACCTCCATCTCCACCCTATGGGTAGTCTCTAGCTAATGACTGACAGAGGGGTGTCAAATATTAGCTCCCTCGTCTGGAGACAGATCAACTCCGTGGTGGTATTAGTGCTCCAGAGCTCCCCAGGGGATCAGATTGACGCTAATCTCCAACTGAGAACACATGGCTGCTTGGCATTTCTCCCACCTTATCTGCAGTCCCCTCCCTTTCACCTGAGCGCTCTCTCTCACTAAACCACCTGCACAAGAAGCTCAAGCCCCACCTAGAGAACTCAGTCCGTGACAGACACACATCAGGGGGTTGTTGACTTGCTCATCTTAACATTTTCTAGGCATTTCCAAATTGCTCTCCATTTAACTGTGCAAATTTACATTCTCACCCGCAGTTTATAAACATTGCTGTCTCCCCTTTACCGTCATCAATACTAGCATTATAGACTAATTTTGTCAATCAGAGCAGTGTAATGTGCTCTCATTATTGTTTTAATTTCCATTTCCATGTTTACTAGTGATGCTGGGAGTTTTTTATATCTTTATTGGCCATTCTGATATCTTCCTTTCTTATTTGTGCACATCTTTCACACATTTTCCAATTTCTTTGGCATGTTTTGGCATCTTATTCTTTGGAGTATTTTTGTAAATATTTTGAAAATGAATTCTGTCTTTATACAGGCCACAAATAACTTTTCCCAGCCTACATCTTTAACAAATTTATTCTTTTTTTTTTTTTTGGTTACATGAAAAGTTTCTGATTTTAATAAATAAGATTTATCATTGTCTATCTTTTATGCTTTTTTGTGTTATTTGTTTTCTGCTTTAAGATTGTAAGGTTATTGGGAACCAGCAGTTAGCATAATGGCTATGTCGCTGGACTCCCACGTAGTCGACCGCGGTTCGTGTCCCGGACCCGGTGGCTTAAAACTCACGCCGGGCGCGTGTGCGTGTGTGCCCAAGATCCCGAGAGGAGAACGGAGGAGAAGGGATTGCGGCGTGACCATCCCCTCTGGGGGGTGATTTCTCGCTTTCTGTCTCTATGTCTCTCTCTGTCTGTCTGGCGAGCGCACGCGCCCTACAGTGAAAATCTCTCCAAAAAAAAAAAAAAAAAAAAGATTGTAAGGTTATTTTCCCTTTAAAAGTTTTATAGTTTGTCTTTTACATTTAAGATGTTAATCAGTCTGGGACTTATTCTGTGAGTGATGTGAACAGGATCCAGTTTGACCTTTTTCCATGTGAGTATTCACTTGTCCTGACATCATTCATCAGCTACACCATCCTTTACCCTTTGTCGTGTTTCAAACTCTCACACATATTTGGATCTGCTCCTAGGCATTTTTCCCTTTTTTATCTGTTGGTCTATTCCTGGGACCAAATCAAACTATTTTCATTACTAGAGCCTCATAGTAATTACTCATATCTGATAGGGTGAGGTTCCTTTCTTCTTTCTCTTGCCCCTCATTGTTGTTTTCAAAACTATCTTGACTATTCTGGTTTTTTTATTATTTTATATACATTTTGGTATGATGTCCAGTTGAAAACCTTATTGCAATTTTTACTGGAAATAAAATATGTGGATTAAATTTGAGGGGAACAGCCAACTCTGTGATAGTGAAGTTCCCTATCCATGAACATGGTTTGCTATATTCTTCCTCTCTTCTGTATTCCATGCCTTGCACAGGAGGCTGCCTAGGAGAGGAACCCCCAAACTCTTCTCACCCTTTAATACCCAGCTGAAATTCTTCCTCTTCCAGGAAGTCCTCCATGAAAACCCTGGCCTCTAGTCTCTAACCTCCTTTAATGCTTGTGTGTGCCCAGGAAATGGGCACACTTAGCATGCTGGGTCTGATTGAGGCAGCCTCTTTTGTGCTCTTTGTACCTCCATCTACCCTCTGAGCTTCTGAAGAGAGGATCTGAATCTGGTTCATCTTCGCATCCTTGGTGGCACCAGTAGGTAGCAGGTATTGAATAAGTTTGGTCCTTCAGGGAGGAGAAGTATGTAGGAATAGGTTCTCCTTCATAAGAAACAGCTGTTTTCATTGGGCAGGAGCCTGGAACTGAATTTGGAGTTTAAAGGGAATGACTGTCCTGAGATGGAGCAGACACAGCTCTACTTGGTGGCTCCCCCACGTGGGACTTCGGCTGCTGTGGCTCTACCATGTGGGACTTCAGCAGCTCTGGGCACGCTTTGCCATTTGTAATATGGTGGTGACTCCCCTCATCTCAGGGGGCTGTTGCTGTTAGTGAAACAGCACAGGAAATGCATGGGTGTTTTCTCTGCTCCCACTTCCTCAATTTGAGGGAGAGGAACGAAGACCCCTCCTTCAGTGGGCCAGCATTTCCTTGCTCCTCTCTGAGACCCCAGGGACACCTTCCCCAAATGTTTCAGCCCTTGGCTCCAATGGATGCAGTTGGGTTCTGTTCTGTCCCCAGCCTCTCATGGCACCCCTGTCATGGCACTCCTGCTGCTGTGCCCCCACCGGAGGAGAGGCAGGAGATGCTAACACCAGCTTCTTTCTCCCAGAGCACACAGGCCTCCCAAACAGCCCTTCATACCTGAGGAAGCTGTTCCCGTAACTATTCCTCCCACATTCCTCCTCCGCAGTGTGTCTTCTCCGAGGGAACTCAGCCAAAAGGGATTGTGCTCCAGTGCTGAGCACCCCCGAACCTCTTGGAGAACACTACGGGCCTTCGGGGCCCTTCCTAGCACACACACGTGGGCTCCAATGTGTCCTCCACCCTATACTTGATGCTAGCATGCTGGTCTCTGACTTCCCGTCCCTGTATGTAAAAAGGGTCACTACCCTGCCTCCTGAGCTCGACGAGGAGACTGGAAGGGGCACCAATGAGCAGGACGCACACAGTAGGTGCTCAGCACCCCTCTGCCCTCACCCCCCAGATGCCCAGCTCATACAAATGAGAAAGAAATGGGAGACACAGGCAAAGATGAGGCAGAATTTATTTCATTGTGGGCAAGGTCGAAGACTCAGGATAGAGAGCACAGAGAGGCAGATCCCCAGGACTCCAAGGGGACCCACGTGGAAGACAAGGGCCACACTTTTGCAAGTGCCAGGCCCCTAGTGCCCCCCGAGATAGTGAGGGCCAGAGCCCAGAAACCAGGTGACGGGGTAGGATGGGGAGGAAGACAAGCCCTCCCAGCTCATGTCCTGGCCAAGTTTCCGACTTCCATAGGAAGGAAGAGCAGCCCAGCTATATAGTAATATAATATATAGAGCGCGGAGAGCCGGCCGCAGCACCGGGCGGGGCAAGGCCCCGCATTATTGCAGGAGGGAGGGGGGCTCGGTGCTGGTGTCTCCGCGGGGTGGCTGTGCTGGCTGTGGGCAGCGCTGGGCAGGGCGGGGGTCCTGGGCTTGCCCTCCCTCTGGGGCTGACCTTCGGCCCTGCCTGCCAAACTTCCCCTGGGATGGGGTTTTCTCATCCTGGGTGCTTTTTATGTGCTTTGAAGACCATTTTTGCATTGTCAGGAGTGAGGAAAAAATATTCTGGCATGATAGAAAAAAGATATTTACATACCCTGGTGGGCCGTAGCGGGGAGAGTCGGTCTGTGTGTATTGGGGGCTTCCCAGCCCCCTCTGACCCACAGCTGTCCGTGTGGGGTCATGTTTGGGGAGATGAGCCCTGGCTGGGAGGCAGGAGCTCCCAACTGTGAAACTTGGTTGCCGTGTGCCCATGGATGGAGCACACCTCTTCTCCAGGCCTTGGCCTCCCCACACAGGAAGGGGGGACTGGGGCTGAGAAGCTAGGATTTCACGGTCCTGACCCTAGGCACTGGGGCAGGCGGGACAGTGAGAGGTTGGGAAGGGCTTCCGAGTGAGACCTGGGCTGTGGAGGGGAAGCTGAAGGGCACCTGGCTTTGTCCAGGTGCTGTGTCAGAGCTGAGGGCATCGCATGGACTCCGCCATGAGGCCCACGTGAGAAGTGGCCAGAGGCACTGGCCAAGGACCCTGTTTTCCTGTCGAAGCAGCAGTGGGAGCCAGGTGGAGGCTGCAGGTGGCCCCCCAGCCAGAGGGAGGGCCCAAACCTGAGATACAGCCAGGGTGGGCTTGCCCAGGCGGAGACGAGGGTGGCCTGGTGCTGGTGTGGTTCAGAAGGGCCCTGGCTCCAGCCTCCAGGTGTCAGGGAAGTGGGCATGAGGCTCCCCTGAGTCCCTGTGGTTGCTGGCACCTAGGTGGTGCCACACAGGCTTCCCTGCTCACACACTTAGGACATGCCTCCTCATTCACACGTCATCCACGGTCACACATGTCGCTAGCCTTAATGGATAAGCACATGCATCGTGACACGCACACATTTGTGCTGGAGCCTGACTGGGTGGACACACACTGCTCACACGGGCCCCCAGGACCTCGTGAGAACACACCGACACGGTGCACACACATGCACCACACACGCACGCACAGAGGCAGGTGAGCGATGTCTCAGTTGGACTCTGGGACAGTGAGGCCCCTGGCTATGGAGGAGGAGGTCCTCTGCCCTGGGGAGCAGGTGTCCCAGCCATGCTGGGCACCAAAGGCCCCTTCCCGGTGCCCGGCCAGGTGACCAGAGGCCCTGGCGGAGACGTCAGCTTCCCCAGCACTCAAGAGGAAGGCAGCCAGGGAGGAGGGCCGCGGCCGGGGCAGCATGGCCACTGGCCAGCTCCGCGAGTCCTCCGACAGCTGACGCGGCCTGGTCAGAGGTGCCGGCGGGGCCCCTGGGTGCTGGTCAGCTGCGCCCTCATGGTCTGGATGCTGCCCAGGATCTTCTTCTGGTGGCCCATGAGGGTGATGCCCAGGGCACGCACGTCCCTGCGGGGGAAGTGCAGGCTGCAGGTGGGAGCCACGGGGACAGGGCCATGCCACATCCTGGAACTGCCCACCTTCTCAGCTGCCCTGCTCTGGCCCCTGCTGCCCCGCCCCGCCCTGCCCCGCCCAGCGCCTGCGGCCCTGCCCCACTCACTGCGCGTTCATCCGTAGCACCATGCCCAGCGAGGAGTAGCCACCGGCAGCAAAATGGTCTCGGTAACGGCCCATGCGGATGGAGTCCAGCCAGTCTCCGACAGTGAGGCCCCCTCCACCACCTCCGCCCCCTCGGAGGTCAAAGCAGCTCCGGGCGAAGGCAGGGGGCGGGCACCTGAGGCACAGGGACCCTCGGTAAGGGGCTGCCAGGGCCTCTGTCTTCCTTGAGGACCCTGGAGCCAGCCCCTCCACTGCCATCCAGACTCTGCGGTGACACGGTTTGAGAGACCAGGTCCCAGGGCGGGCCCAGGTAGGGCAGGGCCCCGGGCCCCAGCTAGGTCTGGTGCAGGGCTCAGGGCAGTGCTGTCCCAGGGCCTGGATGAAGCCCTGGTCTTATATGGGGCAGGGCTGGTCAGGGGGACGGTGGGGATGGCAGCCAGCCTGAAAGCACCCACCGGCTGACGGTGGCGGTGGCCCTGAGGCTCTCGGGGTTGTGGATCAGTGCGTCGAGGACACTGACGATCTGGGAGAAGCGAGGCCGCTGGGCCCGGTCCTTGTGCCAACAGTCGAGCATGAGCTGGTGCAGGGCGCGGGGGCAGCCCATGGGCGCAGGCAGGCGGTACCCCTCCTCCACGGAGCTGATGACCTGCAGGCGGGCACAGCGCTGGACTCAGCTGTCCCTCCCCAGCCCCACAGCACCTGTGTCCAGGCCCACACTCACGTCGCGGTTGGTCATATTCCAGTAGGGCCGCTCCCCGTAGGCCAGCACCTCCCACATGACCACACCGAAACTCCACACGTCGCTGGCTGAGGAGAAGGTGCGGAAGGCGATGGCCTCAGGGGCTGTCCAGCGGATCGGGATCTTCCCGCCCTGCGATGACCACAGAAGGGTGAGGGGCTGCCCAGGCTGGCGGGGATTAGGTCCGCACCTCGCCTCCAGCCCAAGGGAGGGAGCTAACTCTGGGGTCCTATTTCTCTGCCCTGTGGGGGAGACACGGCCTCTGCCTGTTCTGTGGGGGACCAGCTGAGGTCGTGAAGACGAATGAAGTCCAGCTGCAGCGCCCGGGGCGAGCCATCAGAGCAACACCTGAACGGTGAGGACGCCCAGAGACGCGGCCTTGCAGCTTTCTAACTGTTCCTCTTCCTTCTCTTGCTTTTCCCGGGGGTGGGGGAGGTCACAGAATCCTCTGTGTATGGGACACTTTATTCAGAGGCTCAGGAGAGAGACCCCGGGGGCTAGGGCTGGGGGGCGCCAGCTGCTGGCCATTCGGGCAGTGCCCTAAGCGAGGCGCCTCTAGAGCCCTAGACAGCCGTGAACATGTCTGAAAATGGCCGCTTTTCAGACAGACTTCAGAGACACACAGGTGTGCTATTCAGAGTGTCAGTCTCCCAGGGAGGGAGGCCGTGGGGCCACCTGGCGAGAGGGGAAGGCACCCAGCTTGTCCCTAGTCCCCAGAGGAGGAAACTGGGTGAAGAGAAGACACAGGACTTCCCCAGTTCCAAGGGGACCCTGAAACTACCAGCGTCCCATGCCCACCTGTCCCCCTGCCCCTCCCTGGCCAGCAGGGAGGGCTGTGGGCGACGCACCGTGGTGGTGTAGGCGGCATCGGGGTCGTCCTCCAGCACCCGCGAGAGCCCGAAGTCGGACACCTTGCAGACCAGGTTGCTGTCGACCAGCACGTTGCGGGCGGCCAGGTCGCGGTGGATGTAGCCCAGGTCCGAGAGGTAGCGCATGCCGGCACCCACGCCCCTCAGCATGGCCACCAGCTGCGTGATGGTGAACTGCCCGTCGTGGGTCTGCAGAGGGACACGGCTCGCCATGTCGCGGCCGCAGGAAGGCCCGGCGAGGTGCCGTCCGTGGGCAGAACCCTTCCCACCCACAGGACCCTCGAGTGGAGGTGGCGCTTTGCAATTTCCAAAGTTTGAGGTTTGTTCTCGCGGTCTCACTGACACCCAGATGCCCTGCGAGGCAGACGGACAGCGAGGGCTGCATGGACAATTTGCAGGGGGAGAGACAGAGGCCCAGAGACGGGAAGCTGAGCTGAAGGGCAGCCGGCTACTAAGTGGCAGGGCGGGAGCTGGGAGTCCAGCCATTTCCACCACGCCCGCTAGCCTGGTGGTACAGGTGGCACTGGGTCAGCCCAGGCGCAGGGTGCAGGACGCCGTGCAGCAGTGGGACATGTGATGGGGCCAAGAGGCAGGTGGACTGGCTGGCCTTTAAGACCCTTCCTTCCACCTGCCGGCCCGCCCCAGGGCAGACAGGCCAAGCTGGGAGAGGGGCTGGAGCCCCTCACCTGACCTCCCAACAGCCCGAGCGCCCAGCTGCCCTGCCCTCCCCCCATGCCAGGCGAGACACGCACCCTCAGGAAGGCATCCAGGGAGCCGTTCTCCATGAACTCGGTCACGATCATTGCCAGGCGGCCTGGGGGCGGGTCAGGGCTGCTGATGAGAGACCCGGGGAGCATGCCCCCGCCCCAGGAGCACAGAGGGCCTGGGCAGCCCAGGGTGACTACAGGGCCCCAGGCCCTGAGCGACCCCTGAGTCAAGGGGACAGGCCAGAGCAGGGTGGCCCAGAGCCCCGCCTGGGCAGGACGGACCTGCCCGGCACCTACCACGAGTGACGACACCCTCGAGGCGGATGATATTGGGGTGGTCGAACTGCCCCATGATGGACGCCTCACTCAGAAAGTCTCGCCGCTGTCTCTCGGTGTAGCCGGCTTTGAGAGCCTTGATGGCCACAGGCACGTCCCGCTGCCCCGGCACCCGCAGTCGCCCATAGCAGACTTCTCCGGACTCTCCTAGAGACCCCGAGGGGGTGTGCAGGGGGCAGTGGAAGTCCCTCCTTTCAGCCCAGATCCCACACTCCCCAGCCCTTCACACCCATGTGCCGTGGACCCCTCTCCTGCCCTCGGTGGCCCTCCCCAGTGCCCCCCGAGAGCTGCCCAGCCCCAGCCCCAGCCCCAGCCCCCGCGGCTCACCAGAACCGATGATCTTCTCGATGTGGATTCTGGAGGCCTCGATCTCACGGGTGAAACTGCGGCCCGCCCGGCCTGGCTCCTCGTAGGTGTGTGGCTCTGCGTAGAACTGAGGTTCCGGGAACTTCCCTGGGGGGTGGTGCAGGGGCAGGAAGACAGGTGGGGGCGCTGAGGAGCCAGGAGAGAAGGGCCTTCAGGGTCCAGGAGGGACTTCTCTCTCCAGCACTCCCTGCGCCTGGGGCAGGTCTGGGTGGGGTGAAGGGTGTCTCTGGGAATCTCCGGATGTGATGGCAAACATAGGTACCCTGTAAGTGCTTGCTGAGTAAAAGTGAGGTTTCTCTGGGGTCACTCTGGGGTCTCTATGGGGCTTCAAAGTCTCCAGCAAGTTTTGAGCATATCTGTTGTTTTCGGGGGACACTTCTAGAACCCTTGAGATCTTCCTAAATTGTTCTGGGGTAGAAATGTAGCAAAAAAGGTCCCAGCACAAGTGGCAACTTTGAGTGGCGTGGTTTCACAGCGGACTGGATTAAGGACTCTGAGGCTGCGGGCTGCGTGGAGGCTCCGTGGAACCAGTGCCGCGATGGGCTATTAACGTGTACTGCAGGCACAGGAGCGGGCATCCCCACGCCTGCCTTGTTCGCTAGGGTCTCTCCAAGATCCTGAACACTTCTCGGTAGCAGCTCTAGTCCAAGAGTCCATGAGCCCCCGGAAACCTCGTGCAAACCTCGTGTTCGAGTGTCTCCCTGGGGAGAGGGTCTCCAGCCCCCTCAATAGGTCTGTGAGCCCAAGAAAGGTGAAAGGCGGGGAGCGGCACCGAGCCTCTCAGGTGTCGGGTCTCTGGGGCATCCTGGAATCCGTCTCGGGGTCTCTGGTCTTTTCTGTGGGCATTTTTCTTCCCACCTGTGCCACCCCAGACCTGCTCCGGGTCGCACTGCGGACCCCTGCACTCACCCTGCCTGTTCTGATAGTGCATCTTCTCCTCGTCCGAGTCCTGGAAGGCCTTGCTGTAACCACAGTGCCTGTGGAGGACCGTCACCACTGTGCCGAAGGCCAGGCCACCCCTACCCCAGCCCCACCCCACTCAGGGCTCAGGGCAGGGCTCCTCCCTCTAGTCCCCTTCCCCACAGATCAGGTCCTGCCAGCCCAGGCCCTGCCCTGCAGGACGTCTGCAGGGGAGAACCAGTGCCCAGGCTCCCCATCCAGCTGCACTGTGACAGCTGTGACCGTCACAAAGGACTCTGGGATCTATGAAATGTCCTCAGGTGCACCTGACCCTCATAGCAAAGTCCATGAAGCCACTGGCCCCGTTTAACATGAACTGCCCTGAAGGAGGGGATGAGAGATGAGGTTCAGAGGCCTTCTCTGCGTGACCTTGGCCACCCCTTCCCTTCCCCAGGCCTCGGATCCTCTGGCTACGGGATGACCCTCCCAGCTCTCTGCCTGCAATCTTCAACCTGACCAGCACACTCGCCCACCTCCACCTCCCTCGAGAACTCTGGTTTGGACGGACTTGGGTCTGTGGCCCAGCTCTGGCATCTACTGGCTGTGTGGCTTTGGCAAGCGGCCTAATCTCCCTGATCCCCAATTTACTCACCTGCAAAATGAGGTCAGAATCTCTACAGCTCTGGAATGTCATTAGGATTAAATGAGATGATGTGTTTGTGAGTGAGCCGGGCCCCAGGCACAGGGGGACCACTGCTCGGTGGGGCTGGGGGCAGGCGGGAGGCCAGCGCTTGAGGAGGGGCTGGGGGAGGCTGGGCCGGACCACCCACCTCCACTTGCAGATGAGCAGGAGCAGAAGCATAACCAGGCCTGTGATGAGCGTCAGGCAGATCCACACTATGGTCCGCGTGTCGTAGCGGGGCCCTGCAGAGGAGGCGGGCGGAGGCGACGCTCCT